TCTAATCTTACTCGAACAACAGCAAGCACCGAGATAAATCCAACAGAAGCAAGCAAGGCTGAGACGAAGGAAGATGGGCGACGTGACACCGGAGATGGAGAGGGTCTTCAAGCGCTTCGGCGCCGAGGAGGACGACGGGAAGATCTCCTCGGCGGAGCTGGGAGAGGCCCTGCGCGTCCTCGGCTCCACCGCCCCCGACGAGATCCGGCGCATGATGGCCGAGCTCGACACCGACGGCGACGGATACATCGACTTCCAGGAGTTCTCGGCCTTCTGCCGTGCCAACCCTGGTCTCATGCAGGACGTGGCCGAGGTCTTTTAAGCTCGTGCACGCACGTCGTGCCTTCTTCCTGCTTACTATTTAAGGCGCCAATGGCTTCCTGGTTTTAGGTGATCGTTTGATATCGCGAAGAAGATGTCGTGGTTCATTTATTTAGCTATTCATTTGTTTTTTGCCCTTTTATCATTAAATAATCTAAATAACATTTTTTTAGCACAAGTTTTTTCGAATTTGGATATCTGAATTTAGATTCTAAATATCATTAACCTAATTCTAATTGGTTTTCCCAACAAAAAAAATGGATCGATATACCCACCAAGATTTAAGTTGCCACCATTTCACCCGTGTAAGGAGTTGCCATCTCCCAACCCTTAATTAGCCTCTCATGTCTCCATAACAATCCAACCTCATCAACATCAATATCATAGTACATCAAAATCTACCTCTATCATATATTACACATGAGAAATTAAGATGGATACGCGTCACTTGGCGAGGCAATTGGGGAGTGGTGTATGGCCCAAGAACAGGGAGACATGGCCCATTAGCTTGTCCTTCCGGGTGAAGGTGGTGCCGCAGGAGCACATCCACCTGAGGTCGCCGCAGTGCTTCTCGTGGGTACGCAGGTCGGAGAGCACCGCGAACTGCCTGCGGTTGCACCGGTTGCACACGTACATCTTGGGGCAGTGGCTCCGCCGGTAGTGGTTCTTCACGCACACCATCGATTTCAGCGGCTGGAACTTGGCGTGCTTCCTGTTCCACCGGCACCCCTCCTGCGGGCACGAGTACCTCCTCGCCGCCCCTGCAACTGGTGGTGGCGCGCCCTTCGCCAGGGCGGTGATCGTCTTGTACTCCTCGCCGTGCGCCCTCATATGCATCCGCAGGTTGGCGTCGCGCTTGAACCCCTTGCCGCAGACCTGGCAGTAGTGCGTGTACTTGGCCACCAGATCCGCCGCGTCCACCTCGACGATCTCGCACCGCGATCCGCCCTCCCCGCCGACGCTGCACTCGAGGACTCCATCTAATAATCTGTGGAGATCGTGGTCTAGAGCTGCGCCGGTGGCCTCGTAACCGACCGCCTCGTTCTCCTCTTCCTCTTCCTCCTCCTTCTCCTCCTCCTGCTGCTGCTGCTGCTGCAAGGCGTGCATCATGGAGGAGGCGGCGACGATAATCTCCTGCACCAGGCTACGGGCGCCGGACACCACCGCATCCAGGGGCTCCTGCCGCAGGAGCTCGGGCGAGACGACGAGGCCCACGAGGGACTGCACCTGTTGCACCTTCTCGTTCAGGACGGCGAGGTGGTACAGCAGATCCCGGCGTTGGGCGTCCATCTGCTGCTCAAACGCCGCCATGGGAGGAGACCTCTGTAGCGCCCCGAGCTCGAAGGATAAGGAAACGAGGGAGATGCAAGTCAACTACGTACTCAGAGACGTCCACCCCTACATGAGCCTCCCTCGAGTGCCACCCAACCCAAAAGAACACACCACTCCATCTTCTTTAGCATTATAATAAGCTACTAATAGTGTATTATATTGAATCAAGTACAGCTTCCTCTTCTTTCTTTGTCGATCCACCATGGATTGATCATGTCAATGGGAGGGGGAGCAGGTGAGGATTATTTTAGGGGGAGTCGTGTGTTCATTGGATGAGAGCTCAGCAAGAAGGAGACATGGGGGCGTGGTGGTTGGAAGAAGCACACTGAGATTACAGTCGTTGGACAAAACAAGTACAGGATGATCCAATGCCGGTTGTGTGCTGCACTCGTTTTCAGCCGCAACATTGAGAGCTATCTGTGGCAATAAGATCAAAGTATAGATTTGGGTAGTAAAATATATGGCAAAAAGTGCATATGGAAGACCGGTCCTTAATGATCCAAAAGGTCCAAACATCATATTTCAACCTTGAAAATGTAGAAATTAAAAAAAGAAAACAATAAAATAATAAAAATAGAAAAGGAAGTAATGATTCAAATGGTCAAACATCAATTTCCAACATTGAAATTGCAGAATCCGGCAAAATTAAAAGAAGGAATGGAAAAAGTAAATGAAATTTTATTTTTCTTTACTCAATCCTAACACATTTTGATGTTAAAGACTATCACATAATTTTGCCAATTGCATTGATGGTTTAGATTTATGGAATAGGAACCAATCAGCATCATTATTTCAATTATCTTTGCTGAAAATTGGAGTTTGTTCACTTGATCTATTTGATATATCATTTTGCGTTTTTTGTGGAAGAAAAATTTCATTTCTTTTGATACTACTTGTGAATGCTTGTGAATTGGATATATATTTCTTTAACTTCAAAAGAAAACTTTTCCCAGTAGATAGAAAATAAATTAATTTGCTTGTTCATATCGAGGAAGAATTGTTAGAATATTTAGCAAAGATTTCATCGTAATCGAATTTTCTTTTATGGAAGAACAAAAAATCTCTTAATAAAGCTAAATAATAGAAAGGGATCAATACGATTTTTTATTTTTACGACATAATGTGATTTCATATGGAATTATTGTACTTAGTTGTTGCCAAAAAAAAAAACATGTTTTGACCCATAAGAGAGAGAGAGAGAGATCTTTTTTTTGTTGTTGTAGCCATGGATGCTTAATTGGATGTTTTACGATTTGACTTGTATAAATAGCATTTTGAATGAGGAGTTCAAGTTCATTAAATTAATATATTAGTGAAAACTCTTTAGATTAATAGTTGCTTATTCTATTAGTTTAAGTATTTTGGGCCAATGTAAGACTATCAGATTTGGTGATGAGTTAAGATAGATTAAGTTAATTAGTCAATTATATCATCAAATTATACATATATCATGTGAGAGAGAAAGACATAAATCCTTCAATTCTTCTTCGTAATTTAATTGACTTAGTTTATTATCTCTAATGCTAAAAGCTTCCACTGCAGCACCCTTCTTTATTTAAAGGACAAGAAAAGGAAAACAAAAGATGCCATCATAATGGAAATCCATTTTCCTGAGGAAAATGGCAACCTAATCTCATGGCCATGGAGAACACAAAGCCACCTCATGCATGTCCTTTCAAGTCCTCTTCTTGCCCCCCCCACAACAGCACACGTTCCGCAGCTTGGGCTGCCTGCAATGACACCAGCTGTGAGATACCATCCATGAACTGCAATGATAAAGCAGCAGGAACAGTAGGTTTGTGTAAAACCTTTTACCTCGCTCTTCCAATCTGTCTTCCAGATTATGAACAGCAGAATCAGTGTCTGGACAAGGGTTCCACAAAGCATGCCAAGCCATATCCCCTGGCATCATCAATACACTCGTGTGTCAGAGCAGCTCTTGCAGAAGAATGAGCGGTAGAACAGTTTCATGTCTCCATCTCGGATGCCGATGTATGTCAGTAGCACAAGGTTGATCTATGTACGTACCTGCACTCCCCAGTGGAGAAGATAACCCATGAGGAACCCTAGAGGAAGGCCAAAGATGTAGTAGCAACCCAGGTTGATGTAAGCCACCAGAGCCTGCCACCCACCTCCAACAGCCACTCCTGTCTCGAATTGCTCACTCATTCACTTTCTCTCCCACGCAAACATCATCATCGATCCCAAATTGGTCATGCATGCTTACCTGATATAACTGGCTGGATGCTGTTGAGCACCATGGTGATGCCCAGGAGATACGCGATCTCGGCGACTGCTCGTTGCATGTTCTTGTCGTTGGTGAAGATGACGCTGAAGTAGTCCCTGGTTACGAGGATGGTGGTCATGAAGAGGAGGCCGATGGCGAAAGACTGGACGAGCACCACCGCGACGGCGTACTTGGTCGCCCTGGCCCGGCCCGATCCCAGCTCGTTCGACACCCGGACGCTGTGTGGTGGTGCAAGATAGTAGAATCGGTGAGCAACCTTATGGCATGCAGCGTTGATACGGTGGCTGGTGCTTCTACCTTATGGCGGCGTTGAGTCCGATGAAGATCATGCCCTCCCATCCGTTTATGTTCATGCTGTGGAGGGGAGGGGAGGTGGACTGTCAACGGCAGTGGGAGAAGCCGAAGGATGACTGCATGCATGAGCGAGCTTACCAGATGGCGATGGAGCCAACGGCGATCTCAGCGTCGTCGAGGTGGCCGGTGAGCACGGTGAGGATCATCATGTACCAGATCTCGAGGCAGAGCATGACCGCGGACGCGAATGACAACCTGACGAACGCCCACAAATCCCTGAAGGCCGTCCACGAGAGACCGGTCCACCCGTCCTTGCACCAGCCCACGATGTAGGCGACCTGGGCGAGAGAGACGAGCCAGGCCGAGATGTCGTAGGCCGCAGCCGCCCCCCACAAGCCCCACCCGAGGACGAAGACGAAGAGGGCTAGCAGGGTGACGTGGAGGAGGAGGACGAGGAAGCCGATCCAGGCGAGGGCGACCACTTTGCTCTGCGCCTGCAGGAACTTCTGGGCGGGGAAGTTGATGGCCAGCGCGAACATCTGGGGGATGATGCTGACGGCAAACTTGCCGGCGAGCTCGGCTATCTCGTCCTGCTGCCCGATCAGCTTCAGCAGCGGGGCGGCGAACAGGTAGAGCGGGCACATGAGGATGGCGGCCGCCACGAGGATGATCCAGGACCGCTGCATGTACACGCCCAGCATCTCCACCTGCCCCGCCCCGAAGGCTTGCCCGCACAGCGTCTCCAGTGCACTCCCCATGCCGAGCTAATATGGATAGCGTACACTGTTGTCAGCTCCTCAGAACATAAGCTCACGATAAGCTACTGAGGCTACCAGTGCCTGAATCAACCTCCCCAGAAAAACACAAATCTTAAAGCTAAAGCACAAAGAAGTCATTATCCATGTGAGAATATATATATATATATATACACACACACATATATATGTATATGTATATGTATATGTATATATATGTATATATATATATATATATATATATATATATAATTAGGCCCACATAACAGTAATTGGAGTAGCTCTAGATCCGCGATGCACGGAGTCTGCCCCATCCGCCGATAGGTGTATGCATGCTTTCTGCATATTAAGGAATGGAAGCTTGCCACGTATGTGCTATCCCTAATTTAAAGCTGTTCGGAGTCTGAGGGGATTCAGCGGATCCGTGGTAGCGGTGGAACAGTGCCTAATTTACGGCGAGAGGAGAGGCGAGAGAACGGCGAGGAGTTATTACGGAGTCAAAAGTACGAGGGCGAGGAGGAGGGCGTACGAGGAAACCGAAGGAGAAGGTGGAGATGACGTTGAGGGCGACGGCGACGGCGGAGAGCTCGAGGTTGCCGATGTGGCCGACGAAGATCTGGGTGGAGGAGCTGAAGCCGTAGAGGCAGATGATGTTGAACGCGATGGGGGCGCCAATGCACCACAGCCTCTTGGACTCCGCCCCGAACAGCTCCCACGCGTCCCGCAACCCCCGCACCGGAGGGATATCCTCCTTCTCAACCGCCTCGACGGCGGCTACAGTCATCCCTCCTCCCTTGCTCCTCCACGGCCGCCCCTTCTCTTCGCCCACGTTGTGCAGGAGGGGCTGCTGATCCATGGGCACCGTCCCCATGTCTCGTTGTGTCCCCTCGGCTCCTCTGATGCGGACGGCGGTGCAAGCGGCCTTCTCTGTCTCTCACTGAGGGTAATATATAGATGGAGAGAGAGATGAGATACGCAGTGAAGAGAGAGAGCGAGAGGAGTGAAGGGTGTTTATAGCAGTCCAGCCACAGTCTTACTGACACATAGCAAAGCTGTTACGTGATGACTTGATGCGCATCATAACATGATTCTATTATCCATATTAATGACAAAAATAAACATATAATAATATAGAGTATGAGTCTCACCTACACACCGTTTGCATCCATGCAATGCATGAATTAGTTCCTCACTTTGGCCACCCAATTTTTTGCTTCATCATCTATTTTCATCTATTTCTCCAATACTTTTTATATATCCAAATTAATGACATCTTTAATTCTTCTTTTAATGTCACTTGAATTGTATCATTATAAATTCAATCATATTCCTACTAAATTTAAGTTCTTTAGTCTCTAAATTTATCTCACAATGTTTTTTTCATATAATATGGTATTTAGAGGAGGCTATGGGTTAAATTAGTCAGACCAAATACACTTGAATTAATTTTGCACATCAAACCTAAAATAATGACTTGTATGAAGATTTTTTTAAATAAATAATAAGTGATGAAATCTTTATCAACTATACTATCTAACATCTTCAAAAATATATTGAATGAGGTTCCAAATTATTAATTTTTAATAAAAAAAATTGATACATACCACTAAATCAATATTTAATACATAAAAAATATCGGATGAGATTTTAAACTATCAATATTTGATAAGTTAATTTAGTATACTATAATCATATATTGCTTAAGATGTAAAAATATTAAATCCTTAATAAATATGTCTGACACATCATTATCAAAGTATTGTTTAAGGTATGTAAATGAAGATATTAGATTTATACAATTTTTATATATACGTGTATATAAAGTACGATTCAAATTACTTTCTCAGTGCGATCTACATCATGTCACAACTTTCCTGTGGGACACAAAAGAAACAAATCCTCGATTTGACCTTGGTATTTGGAAGCTTCCCATAAAGGCTTATCACCGTCTCATCGACATGTCAACCAACTCAGATTGCCACCTCAAAAGAAGAGATCGTGGACCAGCCTCCCAGAAGAATAATTTGTTTAGGTTTGGTATGAGGTGAGGCCAGCAGAAAACGCCATAGCTTCGACTGCTACGTTCATGTCTTGCTGTGGTGTCTGCTACTTTGAGTAGTTGGCAAGATGTGTCAAAGACAGGGACTCAATCGGAGGGGTCAGATCGATTTAGGTTGCTGGAAAATATTCATGAAAAGATGGATGAAGTTATAAAGATTAATCTTTATGTAAGAGTTTGATAAATAGAGACTAATCATGAATACACACACCTAAAGTTTATCAAAACTTATGTTTCATTTTATCTTTGTAGTTTCTCTTTCAGTATCCATTTTGTTATGATCGAGTGAGGAGGGGATAAATTAATACTTTCGTTAAAATCATCGGTTTAAAAAACTTTCGTTAAATAAAAAATCATATTAGAAAGATGTTAACTTGAAAGTGTACGAAAGCATGTGCATCGAAAGTAATGAGAAAGTAAAGTAGTTTGTAATAAAGATAAATAGAAAAATAAAAATATAAATCATTTTATAGTACTTCGGTCGTTATGTCCTACGTCCACTCCCGATTTCTCTTCCGTCGAACCCACCAGCATCCATTAACGATCTTTCTTCAATGAGTAAATATCAACTATCATTTTACACTCTTTCTCATTTTTATGGGATTAGGAGACAACCCTTAAAAGCTTCTCTTTCTTAGACTACACTTCTCCCTTTAGACGAACTTCTAAATAGTAGGAAGAAGTCGTAAAGATAATAAAGTGTGAGGTGATATGTTAAACTTTTAGATTATATTGGTGATTGAGACAAGAAATTATATGAGATTATAATAAAGTGTTCAAATTATGAATCAAATAATTCATGTCGATCATAGCTTGATTTACATGAGATTAAGTTTAAACAGAAGATTATCACGATCAATAAGATTCTTATTTAAAATATAAAAATAAATTTGGGTTATAATACAGTGTAATTTTATTATTAAGTCGCATGACGATGTATCGATCTATCCGATTTATACTGTATTTGAATATTTGAAAGTCATATTTAAGATGTGTTTAATAAGAAAGATAGATATGTAAGTCAGATCAAAATTGAGGTATCCTAACATTTGGTAATATTCAAACTCCAATTTGAATGAAATTGGAGAATATTATATCATCATTCCTAATTACAATATGTATACTTAATGACAGAAAAAATCTAGAGAAGATGCAAACAAAACTAAACCTCTAATAGACTAAAATATAATTAAATCTAAACAAAAAAAATTAGATGGTGTTAAGACAAACTTAAACATGCATTTTGTAGCATCTCAAAATTCATTAGGTCATCTACAACAACTAAGATACATCTAAAAATAGATGAGACCAGATTCTATTCATTCATATTCTTAATGCATACAATGATGATGGTAATTTATATCTGAATCAAATCCAATTTATGGATCTCATATTTGGATTCATCAAGGTTTTTGTGCAGGCATATTTTGAGCTTTTGTCTTATCTCTAACAAGAGATGCTGTGATGCGTTGGTCTCCTCGACAGGATCTCTATCGTACGATTCATAGATGTTGGTGGGCCAAAAAATCCACAGATCAAACATTATTCTGTGGTCGTTTGATGATTGGTGATGGTAATGATAGAAAGTGGACATGTGAATTTTACCCTAACTAGAGTAACTATACTGACCTCCAAATTTGAACATGAATTAGAATTGAATATATATTTATTTGTTTTCCTATTTAATGCCTACATAAGTTGGATTAGTCATATGCATTTTACTTATTTTTTTTTAATAAAAACTATTATATTAAGGGAACTAATGGGATAAAAATCGAGGGTACAAAAATCCTCATGACAAAAAATGAGGGAGACCATGGATCTTAAAAAATTGATAATCCTACGAGCCACGAAATTAAAAGATCTATCAAAATATATATATATAATAGATGATAAATTATGTTGCAATTAGTCAAATATCTAATATAGAAGCATGGATCTCTCACTAGGCATCGTTAGAGTTAAAAAAGTTAAAAGGACTTCGAGGAGACTCCAAAGTGATGTAGATTTTGAAGATGGACTAGTTTGAGCCCTTCCAACTTTACGCGGGCTTTCACCATTCGTCTTCGAGTACTATTCGATCGTACTCGATCTTTAGTTCATACACCTTTCTCTTTCGATCAAGGAGTCATCATTTTTATGATATAAGGATAAAAAAATTTTCTATTATGGACGGTATTCTACATAAGCTTTCCATTGTCCAACGTAGATATATCTACTACCATCAGAGAGCCATTAATGTCAAGCATGATGGCTCATTAGCATATAATTTTGATGTCAAATATATGACAATCTAAATTTAATTTATTATTGAAAGTGGAAAAAGAATTAAATATAAAAAAATTCATGAGAAATTTCTTTTAATTTGGATTGAAACCCAACAATATCATAGATTTAGAAACAATGCTTTATCAAATCATATCATAATACCTCATATATCGATCGTTAATTTATAATGAGATCATATTGTTATATAGATAAGAATAGTTCAGTCTAAAATTGAGAACGGAACAGAATATCTCCTATCAATAATATAATCTTATATATCAAAATCTAATTAGATCTCTGATATATTTTATTGTAGGTTATCGAGTCCTATAATTTTACATTGAATTGATTTATAGAGCTAAACCATACTGATAATGTTAATTCAGGATTAATGGCCAATTAAACAATTCAAACTCGACTAGTGTTTTTGTGGTGGAAGCTGCAAGTGCATGCATGCAAGCATCTGCTGCGTCACCCTCCATGACTTCACCATATCGGCAGCAGCTCAAGCTCTCAGAGAAATGGTGCATGAGAAACCTTGGATGTGACAGTCATCATGATCTGACCCCATCCGTCTCTGACCATGGTGTTCTTCTCTGTGGGTTCGACGTACTGCTGCTTTGATCCATTAAACAAATGGAGGGAGGCACTCCTCTTTGACCCTTCCATGTACAATGAAACCAAATCCAATTCTATTCCTTCCTCCCTTTCTCTTCATCGCACGTGGAGAATCGCCATGCGTCGCCCTCTCCCGGACTCCGCTGTTAAATCCCCGAGGGGGATCGGAGGGAGCAGTCATTCATGGCGGACTCCACCTGGGGAGGAGGAGGAGGAGGGGAGAAGGAGGGCGAGGCGACGCGGTACCGCGGCGTACGGCGCCGGCCGTGGGGCAAGTACGCGGCGGAGATCCGCGACTCGGCGCAGCACGGCGCCCGCGTCTGGCTCGGCACGTTCGACACCGCGGAGGAGGCGGCGCGGGCCTACGACCGAGCCGCCTTCGCGATGAGGGGTTCCCTCGCCGTCCTCAACTTCCCCGGTGAGGCCGGCGCCGGTTCCTCGCGGGCCGGGAAGCAGGTGATCGAGCTGGAGTGCTTGGACGACCGGGTGCTGGAGGAGCTCCTGGAGGTCACTGAGAAGGAGAAGAAGAGCAAGAAGAAGTAGCGCGGCTTTCAGCAACATGCAGGAACAAGTGAAGGCTGCAGTACTAATCTACGTATCTATCTGTGTGTCAGTGTGTATGTAACCACGTAATGTTTCGGAAGTCTCTGTCAGTGCAATCTTCTTTCAATGATTGGATTCTGGTCCTCTCCTCCTCCATGGAAGATGTTTAGGCGGACAGAGATCTAAATAATGTCAGGCAACCGCTGGTTGTCTTCCTCCTTCCATCTCCCCACTGCGTATAATCGTGTTCTTTCCTCCATTTTCATGCATCAGTCCACCGCTGCCATTAGTGCTGAAAGTGTTTCATGAAATCATACCAGAAGAAAGAAGCTGAGGGAAAAAAGGAAGAGACAAGGAATTGTATGTCCCGAAACAGTTGCATGTCCCGTCCTTCTCTCAGCTTGATCGCAAATCCAGTTCATCGCAGGCAGCTACTGCTGCTTCCTGAAATCTTATATATTGCTTAGGCTGACTGTAGTTGATGCCTCGATGGCATGCACTTCAAGCTTTTTGACTTTGGATGCAATTACCAATGATAATAGCAATAAAAGTATCAGTTAGTTTAGCCGATAAAGATTTGATGGTTTATAGATACTGATCTTCGAATTTCAACTTTATCATTTATCATTTATAAAAAAATAACTTCTAAGGCAATAATTACATGGTTTTTCTTTATATCTTATTGTTATTATTTGATAAAATCTAGTTTACATGACAATAACATATGTTGTAATATCTTAACTATTGGAGTTGGTCATGAATATTTTGTGACGAATGAACTTTGTGCAATATAATCTTTTTTATTAAAATTAAATATATTTGAACTTTATCTATATTTTCAACTAAAGTCTTATCTTTATCTTTTTCCTACACAATTAATATTAATTATCTTAAATTTTCTAACTATAACATCTATCTATATTCCATCTTAAGTGATTTTTTCTCGTTTTATTCTCTAACTTTTTACGTTCAAAAACATCTTTCTCTTGGCTTCTCCAGACATGTTTATATTTTTTAAATATAGTTTTCTTTTATTTTATCTTCTATTGGGATTATACCTAAATAGTAAAAGAAAATATGACATGCGAGCGACGAAATTTTAGTATTGTAAGGAGATTACTTGGAAGATTGCATAGGCTTCATGCAAGAGCTTACCTCTCAATTAATTATTCTGGAGAGGATCTGAATTCTCCTATATTTCAAGCATAATCATCTAAACATCTATATTTAAATGGAAAAATGAGTGTTAATTCCTCTGGTAGTTTAATTGATATAGGTTTCTAACAATAAAGCATTGAATTTTGTGGCAATATCCATCTACATTTGATACAATCCCCACCAGGCACTTAGCCTAATAAGTGATCTGTGACATGATAGAATGCAATCCTTGAGAAAAATAATAAATAATAATAATAATTATTGTATAAGCTTTATTGAAGAAGAAGTAAAAAAGTTTTATTGCAATAACTTTAGCTTGAATACATTAACATGTCTCTCTCCTATTTATACATATTAGGAGAGAGGATTTTCCTCGATTTCCCTCAAGAGAGTAGAGAGTTATTATATAGTTGAGAAAATCTTATCTTCTACGAATCCTTACATTAAGATTTAATTAGGAAAAAAAATTAATTATCAATGAATGATTGTTGTAATTGTGCACATATATACTTGTATTTGTAAGATGAAATTTTTTGTTCTCTTTTTAATCCAGATTGTATTGCATGATAACAATTCGACAAAAGCCATAATACAATATTACGAATTATTATTATTTTTTGTCATCAGAGATCAGGATTGGAGTCACGAAAATAACTTTTCTATATTTAGATATAAGGTTAAATATGTTGATCCTTCCTATATCTTTCATTGATATGATCTTCATCTTTAGGTTTGTCTTTTATTTTCATAATATAATATGATTCAATAAACTAACTACAACCTAGCTAGGCATAAAGAGACCTTGAGCTTTGCTATTGCAAAAGCTAAAAGCAATGCTTTTGATGCTTAGACCTGCGTGCACTTCTCTTTATATGCAAATTTTTCTTGTATGCATCAGATTCATGACCTTTTCATAAATCTTGACCACTTACTTATAAAATCATATATAATAAAACAAAATCTTGTCCTTGTTAAGGTCACAATGCACATACATACTCTTTGCCATATCCTTTAATACATCCTCCAAAAATCAGTGGTTTTTTTATTTATCCCTTTAAATCTAAGTTTAACACACACACACACATACACACAGCTTAGGAAACAAAGAGACAAATAAAAGATAAAAATAATTATATCTTTAAAATTTTAATACCTTTTAAATTCATTAACAATCATGTTTAGTGGCGACTAAGCCGAGTTGATTGAACCAACAAAGTATTTGATATTTAAGGATTTTAAAGTACATACTGTTTAAATATTTGAAACTAAAGAAACAAAAGGGAAGGACATGATTTTGGTCATGCATGGAAGAAGAAGAGGCATAGGGGGTCAAAAATAATGAGAGGAATACTAGAAAGTGTTACTTGTCGGGTTGATGGAAGAATAGGAGTGTTAAATATGCACATCATTACAGCACTTTCCTTGATGTTGATCTAAATTGACTCCCATCAAATTCCCAGCAAGAATGTTCAGAGAATCCCTCTAGAAGATTGATGGCATTCTTTTCTCACACACCAATCTTTGAAGGGCATCATCATGAAGCCATCCATTTTGAATGTTCCCAACCTTTTCTGACCCTTTTATATATATATACACACACTGTCGCCATCGATAATATTTTAATTGATATATATACACTACAAAGTAATACCTTCAGTTAATTAAGAATATTTTAATTTACCTTATTGATTTGAGTAAAAAAAATTATAGGATTAGCTCTATTTTTTTTCTCATAGATGTAATGCATTATTACATCTTCTCATTCATCATTTATAGGTGTCTCATTAATATGTTTATAGATCTTCTTGGCATATGCATATGCACATACTATAAAACCGAATTGTTGTTATTATTATCATTGTATATGATTAGGACAATGATATGATTCAAATACCATAACTTAGCAAATGGAAATGAGTTGATTGGCTGTACATAAATGCCAAATGTTGTTAATATTATCTAATGAGGAGACTATACATGATAGAAATTGGCTCCTGGCCATCAATGTCTAATCAACATCAACCTTGGATAATTCTAGAACCTTGGATTGGTTAAGTCTCACATTTTAACTTTTTAGGAGCCCACTCTTAATCTTATAACTTCTAACAAATCCATCAAAACCCTACAATTTGACCATCTTGCGTCTTAATCTTATAACTTCTAACAAATTTCATATTAGTATCATAAATATTTTTTTGAATCACACTAATCAAATCATATTAGATTTGTGATCATGAGATCTGATATAATTTTATGTTGGTTATTAGTGACCTAACGTAACTCTCTATCTTTTTTACACAGACTTTAATTAAAATATTTTTAATTAAACCATTCAAATCATAGTTTTAATTAAAATATTTACAATTATATGTAACCTTTGGATTATTTAGAAATATAAAATATTATAATAAAAAATTAAATAGTCTTAAACATAAACAAAAATAAATATTTGATTACATGATAAGATAAAATGAATAATATTGAATAATAATATAAATATAAATATTTCTCCACGTTAAGGAATACATGCTAACATTAAAATTTATTTGATATATATTTTTTATCATTAACTTGGGCTTAAGTTAATTATCACATTGATCGAGTTATGATACATAATATTGAACATGATAAGAGATCGAGGAGTAAATAATTATCTTAGGATGGAGCTACAAGTCATATTATAGAATCATTATATGAATAATACTAGTATTTGATTATGAGCTAAATTGGATTACTTTATATTGTTATATTTTTAAAAGCTGATTTGATGTCATACTTTGAATTGTGATGGGTTATTGGTCTGTCGGCATTGATATCCGGCCCAAAGAATGGGAAGACGATGGAGGCAATTGCTGGACATGATGGCCCGGAATGGGTCCAATTGGACCCATGTGGATGTATGCACTTCAGTGCTTGAAGAATTGTACTGATTTATATATGTTTGATAATACTATTATTATCAAAGAATAGGTAAGTAAAGAGTATTGTTCCAATAGATGCCTTATATTATGACAGAATAATAACATTTAAAGACAACTAGTGGATCGAGATCCGGATCCGAATCATGCCATGTCTGTTATCTGTCGCCACACCTGCCACGTGGGCATGGGATGGGATATGCTACAAATATCTCCATCGTGGTCAAAAGCTTCGTTCTCGTGCGCTATTTGCATCCTCCGAGAGAGCGGAGAGAGAGAGAGAGAGAGACGAATCGAGGAGATGGAGAAGGCGATCAATCGGCAACGAGTGCTCCTCCAGCACCTCCAACCATTCCCCTCTTCTTCTTCGTCATTGGTCTCGGTAAGCGGTCCTGTTCTTCTCGGTCGGTCGGTGTGGATCGGATCTGCTAGGGTTTTTGGAACCCTGGGATTGTTGCTTTCGTTTGTTTATTGGGGCTGATCGCTTGATCCAAGGGTCGGTTATTGATATGAAGAAGTCAGGTTTATCTTCGATAGTTCCCTTTGTGATTCTTGATGGCAGGCTTCTGTATGTGCCGCTGGGGACAGTGCGGCCTATCAACGGAACTCTTCCTTTGGGGATGACGTCGTAGTTGTCGCGTAAGCTCTCCGTATATCTTGATCTCTTCTCAGTGCTTAAAGCAGATCTGGTCTTCTATAGCTTGCGTTGACCTTCGGAATTGGTTCTGTATAGACTCTTGGAAGCCTGTAGTATGACTTATTTGTTGGACGGAGATAGGGAAGAATAGTGCGATCATGCACTGGAAGGCAAATCTTGGGATTGGTTATGTTGATGCTTTTCTCCAGTAGAGGAAATCTGGTGTCGGTCACATGAGCGGAGCGTTCTAAGAGCAAATCAGTTAGATACACCATTTATTTGGTTTTTGTTGTGAAGAAACTTATTAGTCGTCTACACATCATGCAACTTGCTTCAAGCTTTCATCACTCACCGAAGAATGTCATGCGTGGCTGATACTATTGAAAGCATTTGTCAACACCTTCTGCATATAAGATTCATCGTAGTCAATATGATTCATTCCAAAAGTTTAAACCATCGATAATTTTATTTCTTGTTTTTAAGTTTGCTTTTGTTGGTCTTTGAGTACTGGCATCTTTCCTCCTGTCGGGCATTGTGACCATGTTTCATTTATTTTCTTAGTCCAGTATTTTGTTAATTTTGATTTGCTATGGATCACACTATGTATTTGTTATCTTTTTGTAAGTTCTACTTCTATCCTGATTCTACTACCCTATTGTAATAGTGCATACCGAACTGCAATCTCCAAGTCCAAAAGAGGGGGTTTTAAGGATACATACCCTGAGGAGCTGCTTACTGCTGTGCTGAAGGTCTGTGTTCATAACCAATTTGTGTTTCATGGCATGGTAACTACAAAGTGGAGATAATGTCAAAAGCATTTTTTTCTCTTTTAGGCATTGTTGGATAAGACTAACCTGAATCCAAATGAAGTGGGTGATATTGTGGTTGGCACGGTACTGGCACCAGGCTCTCAAAGAGCGACTGAATGCAGGATGGCAGCATTCTATGCTGGTTTTCCTGGTACTTAGACTCCCTGCTTTCTTTAATAATGCTGACATCTTATGTACAATCTTGATACATCTTATGATATTTTCCCCCAACAGAAACTGTTCCAATTAGAACAGTGAACAGGCAGTGCTCATCGGGACTTCAGGCAGTTGCTGATGTTGCTGCTTCTATTAAAGCTGGATTTTATGATATTGGTAATTTTTTTTAGTTTACCTGTTTTCATGCTTGCATAAAAAAAATTCTTCTAATCTTTTTGTTCTTTCTGCCATTGCAGGAATTGGTGCTGGGTTAGAGTCAATGACTGCAAATTCTGTGGCTTGGGATGGTTCGATAAATCCAAAAGTATGATTTTCGGATCCTTGTTTAGTTACTTAAAAGTGAGTTTCCATATTCTCATTCTCTGCTATATACATTTTTCCTCGAGTCCTTCAGGTAAATAAGTTTCAACAAGTCCAAGATTGTCTTCTTCCGATGGGAATTACATCCGAGAATGTTGCATTTCGTTATGGTGTGACTAGACAAGAACAAGATCAGGCTGCTGTGAGTCTATGGCCTTTGATTATATTGGTCTCATCAATAGTTTCGTCATCTTGTATTCATTACTACCTTATTTTTCTATGTCCAGGTCGAATCTCATAGGAAGGCAGCTGCGGCAACTGCTGCTGGTAAATTCAAAGAAGAAATTGTTCCAGTGATCACAAAGGTAAACTATTACAGTACTTTTTAGTACTTTTTGAAAGGTTTTTTTTTTTTCATTTTACATTTTAGTAACTGAATATCTTTTAGCCTTGAGTCGTCAATAGCTGCAGTAGTATCCAACATACACCCTGTGAAAGTGTTTATAATTGGCATAAGATTAAAGGTATTGCACCAATCACATCACATTTTGATAATATGATTTACTTTTTGAAGATTGTAGACCCAAAAACTGGAGAGGAAAAGCAGGTGACCATTTCTGTCGATGATGGAATTAGGCCAGAAACTTCTCTATCTGGTTTGGCAAAGTTAAGACCAGTATTTAAAAAGGATGGAAGTACAACTGCTGGTATTGGAGCAGTTCTTTTTTGTATGATAAGTTTACTACAAGCTATTGATCTCTTGTTAGCTATTTAAATGTGATTATTCATTTTAGGCAATTCTAGCCAAGTAAGTGATGGTGCTGGAGCAGTTCTCTTGATGAGGAGAGATGTTGCAATGCAAAAAGGGTTTCCTATACTTGGTGTATTCAGGTTAAATTTCTTTCATTTCATTAACAAATTAAATTTACTTTGTACTTTTTTCCTATGTTAATTCATATATAACAAAGGATACATGAAAGATCCTTTATTGGCTCTTTCTTTAGCCCTATGTTGCTTATCCCTAAGAGGTCTTTCCTCCACTAGCAGGTTTTTTCGGAAAACTCCATCTATTCTGGTGTGGATGGCAGGCAGGCCTATATTTCTTGGTTTCAATATGTCTCCTTATGAGCGTTGTTTATGTCTCCTATTATCTAAAAATAATCAGGTTATTAGTGATAGGACTAAATAAAGAAATAACCCATTACGTGCGAAATTATAGAACTCTTTTAAGATCAAACAATTCCATCGAATTGAGTATGACTGTATGTGTGATAGCATCTACAATACTAGGAATATCAATGAACCCAATTCTTGCAATTGCTCAGGATACCCTCTTTTAGCTTCTAGGTCTATTTCTTACTTTAAGATCTCTCTTACTAACTCGAATAAAAGAATTAGTAGATATCTTACAATTGGAATCCCTCTTTTTTCTGATCCATATCCTCCACCACCGCGAACTCCGGTTAGATTCAGGCATGATACACTTTTTATTTATTGGGAGAACCCAAGTACTCTCTTGCGGATCCATGAAACATCTCTTAGAAATCTTTTTCCCTTTTGGAAGATACAGGAACGAAACAATCAACCTATTGATATTGGAAGACCGAAAAGATTCTTTCAATGTCTCATTTCTGGGTCCAATGGAATTCATAGGTATAGGAAGAAGCTCCATCAAATAGAGATTTTTTCTTTCGACCATCTTTCGATTGTTAATACGAGATATAAGGACCGCTACTAGTACTACACCTTTGATCGTGAAATATTGATTACTTTTTGAACCCTACGAATCACGTGAAAGTAGGATACTCTAAATTAGGGGGTCAAAGAATTTCATAAAGCATTCTTGATGGAGAAAATGTGAGTGAAAGATCCCATTGAATTGAGTTTGATCCATGAATCTAAGAAGTAGTGAGAATTCTTGATCTCTCTCAATTCGACATCCCGGGATTTGAATTGTTGTCGTTTTATTGATTCCTGCTAAAGATTTCATTTCAACTGGAATTTGGTTATTCACGATGTACGATGATCTCTATTAAGCATCCATGGCTGAATGGTTAAAGTGTCCAATGCATAATTGGCAAATTCGTAGTTTCAATTTCTGCTAGATGCACGTCAATAGGAACGTTCAGTGAGTCTATTGGAATTGGCTCTGTATCAATGGAATCTCATCATCCATACATAGGGTTTCCAATGTTAATTTATTTCATGAAGGGTCATTGCAAAGGAATGGCACTAAAAAGCAGATATTGCATGGGCTTACTTGGAGAAGGTGACAAAAAAGATGAAGAAGTGGGTAGACTTGGGAATGTGACCATAGGAGTTTAAAGTTGGTGACTTGATGTTGGTGATGCTCCAATTAGCATCACTCTAGTTCTTTAGGCATAAAGTGCACAAGGGATTAGTGTACAAGTACGAAGGACCCTTCCCAATTATCAACAGTGTAGGCAATGTCTCCTACAAGTTGCAGCTGCTGACGTAGCTTAAAATTCACAATGTCTTCCACGCAAGCAACTTGAAAACCTACCACTCAAACCCGCAGATGCTTCCCGAAGTGTCCTAACTCGACTACCCCAACCAAAGCCAACTATAAGAAGCAAGTTGAAACTGTTTAGTTGATCGCACAAAGCTACCCAACGGAGTAGAGTAGATCGAGTACTTAGTGAAGTTGCAAAAGCTTCCTCAAACAAAAGCTAGTTTGGAGCTTGAAGATGCCCTACGACATGAAGTAGTCATCAAAGCCTACCAGCAAGCGTCGACAATTTAAGTGGGGGAGAATGTCACGAACGGTTGTTGCGCACTCGTAACATCTTCGTTAACAAACCATTTGTCGCTTTTGTTTGCTTGTATAGATACTAGGCAACATGTTTTGCCACGGTTTTGTATGTTTTTATTAGAACATTGTGAGCAGGAACAAATCGCAAGGTTGCAGAGCGATCGCTCACCGTAATGGGTAAAACTGCCCTAAAATGGCTTCGTTTTCACGTGTCATGGCTTGTTTTCTATAGGCTGCGGTGCGATGCGGTGTAAAACATTAGCCATCTCAGCACTCTGGAACCCCTCAGGTGACACCTGACTAGATAGGGGGTTTAGGGTAGTGTTGGGCGTTGTTTGGATTTCAGAAGTTAGCATGTTAAATCTATGGGAACTATCCATCGCACCTGACACCGGGTGAGTAGTCATTTGCGGACTTGCGACTATCCGTTTGCCTTCTAAAGTCCTTGTTTTCTTATTTTTTTCTTCTCTCTTACACACCAAGTGTTTGCTGAATTGCTTGTAAAGTTGTCTCTTCGCAAGATGTAGATACTTGTCTATCGCTCATTTTTGAACTAATCAATTTGGTCTTTTATAGGTCCTACGGGACCTGAGCGAGGTTACAACTAGGCTGACCCTTTGCGGACGAATAACGCAAGGGTGTTTCATGACTTAAGCAATTCTAGTTAAGTCTATGACATTGGCACAAGGATGCTTCACGACTTAAGTAATCCTAGCTAAGTCCGTGACATTGATGCAAGGGTACCTCACGACTTAGATAATTTCAGCTAAGTCCGTGATATTGCCGCAAAGGTGCCTCACGACTTAAGCAATTTTAACTAAGTCCGTGATAGTAAGTTGCTTGTATTTATGCTTTTAAGGCTTATGTTATATTTATATTTGCTGTTGATGTCCACGCCGATCTCTTGCGGACTAGTTTTATTTGATGATCCACTGGTTATATTCACTTAACTGTTTGTAGGAGTTTTGCTGCGGTTGGAGTGGACCCTGCTGTCATGGGTGTTGGTCCAGCTATTGCAATTCCGGCTGCAGTAAAATCTGCCGGTCTGCAGATTGAAGATGTTGATCTGTTTGAAATAAATGAGGTGATTTTTGCATATAAATGCTATTATTATTAATTTTCTTCGTTAAGTGTAGATATTGCAGAGTTCGAAACTTAGTGTTGCTTTCATGCAGGCCTTTGCCTCTCAATTCGTATATTGCCGCAAGAAGCTGGAGCTCGATCCAGCAAAAGTAAATGTTAATGGAGGTGCTATTGCTCTTGGTCATCCCTTGGGTGCAACAGGTACTTGTCACTAGTCATTTCTTCTTTGTAGAAATTGCCAGGCATAGGTTTTTGCATCTGTGCATATTAACTAGCATTGGAGGCATGTGATCAATGTGAGATGATGTTGGTAATGGTAAGGCTCGGCTGGGAGAAAAAATTAGTCTACCGAAGTGGGACTGATAATTTAAAAAGGTCAGAGAATTTGGTGCCCAAATATGATAGTTTCTTAGTTTAGTTATGATAGTTGTCATGGAGCTTATAGTTTATTAAGCTCCATACAGAGCAGCCCAACAAAGAAAAAACTCTCAACATAGTGGAATTTGGGACTGCACACCATAAGATTATTTCATTGCTGCAAATTCTTGAGGGTAAGTAGAGATCCAATAGAAAAATCAAGTGCTTAGCCGAAGGCCCTCTGCCTAATCATTCCTTGAGATTCTAGATTTTATCACATCTGACAATTCAAATAATAGTTATATTATTTTGAATTTGAATCACAATGCAATAGCCTCAAATTTTCAAGGATAGATCATGGCTATGTTTGGATTCACAACTAGGGCTGTAGGACAACTCAAGGAGAAGGGTAGGTAGGATATGTTCACTTGTTCCAGCCTTTTCGAGATATCAGAGTCCTGCTAAGATGCGAGTTATTAGTTTCTATATTGATAACTATTCAGAATCATTAGCCTTTTATCTCACTGCTTCGCTTTATGTTGTGCCTTAAAGAGGATAGTTCACAGACATGCCATTCATGCATTCATTCGTGGATAACAATTTCATAAGTATGCATATGTCACCCTTGAATCACTTCGAAACATTCTTCTTATGATGTATTGTTGCCTAGGTGTTGAATTCACAAAGTCTAAAATTACTTTTGATGTTTTTACTGGTGTCACTGTGACATGACTAGCTTATAATTTCTTTCATCGTCTGCTGAAGGTGCACGCTGCGTGAGTACTCTCCTAAATGAAATGAAACGAAGGGGCAAAGACTGCCGATTTGGAGTCATCTCGATGTGCATAGGTCTCGCCATTCGATTCTTATCCTCTTCGCTGTACTAAAATCAGTTATTTGTCTTGGCTGAGCAATTTTGTGCATGGTGCAATGCAGGTTCAGGAATGGGTGCTGCTGCTGTGTTTGAAAGAGGAGATGCTGTCGACGGCCTCACGAATGCCCGACAGATCCATTCCCACAACCTTCTGTCCGAGGATGCTATGTAGAACCCGCACAAAGAAATTTAGTGAATGCCTTGGGCGTCGTCATCGCTAAGCACAGTACATGTCTCTGTTCCCACGAGCCACGAAGACTGATCACACGAAATAAACTGCTTCGGCAGATTAGATAACATAAGCAATTTGAAATTTTTGCGGCTGCATCGCATGCACTATAGTGTAATCAATGCTATCTCCAATAATGTTTGTAGAATCATTACCATTATCGTCAATATAATAATTACAAATGATAATGTTATTATTGATGATAATGGTAAAACTGTTGGTATTGTCAATGTTAATCGGAATTACAATGGCTTTGATAATGATGTTAACATTGATAGATATAACTGTAATGATATCATAATAATAATGTTCATAGTTATAGGAATTAGTAATGGTATTGGTGATGAGAAAATTAATTATAATGATAATAGTGATCGTAACAATCATAATGACAGTGATAATAGTGATAACATCAATACCATTATTATAGTTTAATCGATAACATCAACACCATTATTATTATAAGAGTGCTGATTGTTCTGACAAAAGAACATGCATAAGAATGTGAATATTATTATTAATCTTCAGCGAGTCAAATAAAAATCACACTGAAAAACTACCTTATTGTATGTTCTAAACTGCATACATAATATGGTTAATAATCAATTTTTTTTTCTTCAAGGAATGTGAAAACTATAAGCAGAAGATCAAATTGCTAGTAGCTTACTGTTTCATCATCGATTGGATCTGTTGCTTTCAATTTTTGCCGATGGCCACTTGTATTAGGGTCAAACACACTGCCAAGAAAGCTGTACACCTGAGCAAAATCTGGCATAACTTCACAAAACAAAGAAAAGAAAGGTAAGCAATATGAGCAAACAAGCACAACAACAATTAGAGATACTGTTGCAATATTTTTAGGTACGTAAGTCAGGATGTGATTTGTATTCAGGATCGAAAATCCAGCAAATTTTTAAAGTGGTGGAAGACATTACTCACCATGAAGAGAAGTGACCTGATTCCCTCGATCCACTGTTTCATAAGAAGGCCAAGTTCTGGGACTGTCAGCAGTACTTCAGCAACAGGAGCTTACGGTCAAAACTCCGGAATTTACTATATCATCTGCAAACTTACCAGACCTCTCTAATATATTTGATCAAATCACCAATACAAATATTAAAATAAAACTATCAGACCTTTTGTCGAATGAGATGAAGTAACAGGCTCGATAGAACTCTGAACCCAATAAAAAAACAGCCATTGTTGCAGGATCTCTATGCATCGATGATGTTGGTTCAAAATGGGCAGAACTCACAAGTAGATTTTTGTTTTGACATATCTAGGGAGCCACCATTTAAAAGAAAAGGGCAAGCAAAATTATTAGCCACAGTAAGCATCAAAGCCAACAACTACTCTGAATAATGATTACCATTTTTAGCAGCTTTCTGAGGATATGGATAAGCTGCTTTCTGCTTGGGTCGAGGTGGTGGTACATGTTCATTTCTACCATTCTTCTGAACCTTCAGAAAGTACTTTTGTGCATGGCTCCTTATCTGCAAGGATGCATTTTGGTATAAGGACGTTGATAAAAGGAAGAAAAAAAGAGTGAAAAAAGAAAAGCATAACCGGTATCACATCTGGTAGTGCTTGTAAAAGTTAAATTTTAAACAAATGTGTTCCTAGTGCTATATCTGATAGTGGAAGAGTGGCTCATTATCCAGAGACATCACTATGCCACTTGAGAAATGGAATTATAGAACAGCAGATATCAACATCAGATTGGAGATGTCTGCCACAGGAGGATGATAAATAGCTCTGCAAATGGTGAACTGGATAACTCCATTTTAAACCTATGTGATCAATGAATCTCCAGAGCAACTATCACATGGACTGTGGCAATTCCTGACCCTAACTTGCCAGCAACCCAAGACTGGATAAAATGAATAGACATTGATCAGAGGCTTTTATGGATACGATGTTTATAGGCAACAACAAATCATGACAATACCAAATGATCTAAAAATGCTAACAGTAAAAACCCCTAGCAAGAAGGAGAACAAATCTGCATCAAACAGTAAAAACCCCTGCGCAAAACCCATGTTCTCAGATCGTCCCATCAGAATGAATCAGAAAGTTAACTTTCGGCCGAAGACACGGCCACCGTCGAAAGAAGTCGAGAATCGAGACAACAAGAGAAGCCACGACATCATCAAAAGATGACAAGAATGGTAAAGATTAGCGACGGCGACAAGGAGGAGGAGGAACGGGTGCTTACAGTTGGCGACGCCAGGGAGGGTCCTCCGAGTAGAAGACAACCGCCACCCCCGTTCCACCTCCACCACCATAAAGAGGCTTCTAGAGACGGATTAAGCGATCAGCGGAGGGGCGAAGAAGTCCTTCCTCCACCTTCGATCGGCTTCGCTTCCCTGCCTCTTCTTCTTCTTCCCCTTTGAGCCACAACAAATTATGTGAAAAGATCACAATTAGTTACCGACTCCTCAAGCGATGGTTTCTTGAGACGATTCAATCTGCGATTACAAGCACGAGAAAGACACGTTGCTTGAAGAGCAGCGCTAGAGCGGCATGGTCGGGCTCCGTACGCGTCCGCGCACGCACAACCTGGCAGACTTCGCCCGTCGTCGTGCCTTACATCCCCCGTTCTCTTTCCCCGGGCTGAGAGGGACACTGGCGGGCTGCGCACAGTGGCAGTCGCAATTGATGTTGTAAATGGTCATTTCATACCGTGCAAGCATCAAAAACAGTGCACGTGATGTCGCGTGTGGATGTTGCGATTAGCTATTGGACAAAATGGTCATTTCATACCTTCATCCCCATCGTCACCATTCTGTTGCTTGGGATTGCCGACGCCGGTCGGACGATCGCAGCAGCAGCAAACGACAAGGTGGAGTCCTTGCGACGGAAGGGGAGCGGCACGACGAGCGGGAGAGGGCTTCTACGTCGAGGGAGCGACGGAAGATCTAATTCCTCTCCGTTGTATCGAAATTTTATCCGATAGCCCAAAAGCCCTCTGCGCGGCGTGGGAGATGGAACTCGTTCCTCTTCGAGCTCCACCGGCTTTAGAACACCACTTGTCCTCCACCTATCCCCAGCCCAACCTCGTGCAACCGTCCATTGAGCGTCAGCCCCAGGGATCACAGGATGGCATATCGAAGGCGCCGATGGCCGTTACAGAGGCCCAGAAGTACGGGTTGATGGCGATGGGGTACCCTACTGGGAAGGGCACGCGCCCGCCCACGTATCTCCCGTCGATGGTCGCACAGACCTGGCGGAACGCATCATTGACCCGCGAAGCCGACAACAAAGATCTCAGCGACGGCCCGATAGGCGTTTCTTGGGACGACAATGGTGGTGGCCTCGACGCCGATCACGTTGTCGACACGATGCCCAAACCCGGAGCCGTAGTGCCCATCGGGCTTGGAGACGGGGAGGAGGACGTCGGGCTCGTGGTAGCGGGATCTCATGGAGGGGTGCACCACGTCGGGTAATGACCCCGCCTGGCCGACGTTGAGCGATCCGTGGTAATAATGGAGGGAAACGTTGGAGTCTGACCATGGTTCGATTCTGGTTCGTATATTTGAGAAACTAGAACCGTTTGGTTCTGTAATTTTAAAATGTTTTTATTATTTTTAAAAATTATTTTTTTGTATTTTTTATATTTTATATTTAAAAAAATAGTGATTTAAAATCGGAACCGATCGAACAATAACCATCGGTTCCAATTTCAGAATCGACCTTTGTTGATTTTGGAACTAAGGTATGCGGCATGAAGTCATCGATACCGGTCTCGAAATCATTAGGACTCTATAGTTAGCTCTCTTGCCCGCCTGTTCTTCAGAACTCTCAGAAGCGTTTCCATCTTGCTCTTCCCCCACGTACTCACTTAGCTGTCACAAATGACCAGAGCCCTCATAGCCACCTCCGCCCCGTCCACCTCCCTGACGTCTCCATCACATTTTCTCCGTTGCTCTTTACCAGGTTTAGTAATGGAACCGCAGCATTTTTTCTCTCCCTCCTACTCCTCCCAACCACTAGATCCACTAGGACGTTGACGTCGTCCACCCTTTGGAATGCCTTCATGTGCTCATCGTATCCTGCAGCCTGGGCGATCACTATCGTCACATCTTCCACCACCCCCCCTCCACTCATCCTTCACTACTAGCGTAAAGAGGGGCAACAAAGCACCCAACTCAACGAGGGCGAGGAATTTGAGCAGGTAGAGGGCCTTGAGCGCATCCTTGATGGACTTAATCGGCACACTGGGGGGCTCCAAGGAAGTCCATGGGAGTGGCAATAAGGGTAGAGATTAAGAGGTCGTGGAGGGCGACGACAACGTTCTCCTAGGCATCGGTCGTGGATGAGTGGTGGTGGTGGTGGATAAGGAGGTAGGCGACAAGGAGGGGGCACACATCTCCAGATCTTGCTTCGATGGGCGATGTATCTCTGCTATGGCTTCAGTACCGGACTTTGATTCCGTGACGACAATACATTTTTGCTCTTTGTTTTTGTGTTTCCATTGGTAAAACTAACATCGTTAGAATAAATAAACATAAATGTTTCACTTTCGTAATTATAGAGATACCAATGTAACTTTTTTAAAGTATAGGAATCAAAATGCTAATGATAACTAACTACAAGAGAAATATATAATTAGGCCTAGAAGTTGCAATAAACTGTCAGACAAAATGGTCATTTCATACCTTCATCCCCGTCACCACCATCTTGTTGCTTGGGCTTGTCAATGTTGATTAGACGATCATAGCAGTAGCAAATGATAAGGTGGAGCCCTTGCGATGGTAGGGGGAACGGCACGACGAGAGAGAGAGGGCTTCTTCGTCAGGGGAGCAATGGACGATCTAATTCCTCTCTGTTATTCAAAATCTTATCTGAGAGCCCAAAAGCCCTTTCCGTAGTGCCCATCGGGCTTGGAGATAGGGAGGATGACATCAGGCTCATGGTAGTGGGATCTCAAGGAGGGCTTGTGGTAGATGCCAAATGTCATAACTTTAGGCCGTTGAAATCATTAATTTTGGAATCAAAACTATCAATTCTAGAACTAAGGTATGTGGCACAGAGTCATCGACGCCAATCTCAAAATCATCAAGACCCTATAGTTGGCTCCCCCACCCACTCTACATAACCCTCAGTAGCATCTCCACCATGCTCTTACCCCTCGCATTCACCCCGCTGTCGCCAACGACCAAAGCCCTCATGGCCACCTCTACCTTGTCCACCTCCCTGTTGTCCCCCATCGCGTTTTCTCCATTGCTCTTTACTAGGTTCAGTAATGCATTTGTAGCAT